TTTATAATAATATAATCTACCCAAGTTAAAATAAAAGTAAAAMTATGCAGAAATATGAAATAAAAACAATTGATGCTATGCAGATTGATTGAATTAAGTAGTTAGTAAGTGGTACTATAGGTACTTACCACAATGTTACCAATTACTATATTCCAGACGAAAAAACCCCTATTCTATTCAAGGCATAATTGTGTTAGTTAAACTTGAGAACATTTAGTTCTCAAATATTAAAATAAATACTTGAATCATTTCATCACAATAAAAATTAAAAGGTATAATTTATAATTTTTTTTTTTTCTAGAAATCATAGTTTACGTTTTACAGTGCTATAGAATTAATTATTGCTCGCATATTTTAAGAGTCACTAACAAGTCTTTAATTTATAAATGTACACAAATATATTTAGATAAATTCACATATAGATAGTTAGTGTGATCTTTATAATTTATAAAATATCGTAGACATTACCAATAAACTAAATCTGACTGACTTATACTTAAATAAATAATTTTACACTAGTTATATTAGCCACTATATGTGACTGTTCTTCTATTTTAATTTGTAGGAAACCAAAAATCATTATGTATTTTGAAATTTTATTTACATTATATAATATTCAAATTAAGAAACAACAAATTGAATTAAACCTAATTCAGTAGGTATTCTATCTAAACGAGAGTATACATTATAAAGAGAGATAATAAAAGAACACACAAGACTATTTGTGATAAAATAAGTCTTCGTTTTTTTTTTTGCCTTAAGCAGTAGGTAATTGATTGATCTCCGAACAGCATAACATTTTGTTTCAATGTGAAAATATACGGRAAATATTCTAAAATACATTAAAATAAAAAACCCAAATATAACCACAATAATCATACAATYACTATTGAGGATCAATTGGTATATTTATTATTTTTTATTAATAACAACAGTGCGATGAATTTACAAATGCATAATAGAGACAACATGAATTATTAATACGGTAATATTTTAACATTTTCGTTTATTTCCTATTCATCTATGACCCCGTATACTCATTAATTTCTTGCAAGAATCAATATATYTATGATATTATATAATAATATTATTATTAGTCGTTCGGTATTAGTGGGTTCCAAACCGATTTACTTTGACATTGAAAATACAAAATTGTCATTTTTTTTTATATATATAAT